ATCCACGTGCGCTCATCGAGGGCGCAGTCGTCGACGGCACGTTCCAGCCCGGCCTCTTTGACTGCGGCTCGTTCCAGGAAACCCTCGCCGGCTGGGCGACGTCCGTCGTCGTCGGCCGCGCGCGGCTCGGCGGTATTCCGTTCGGCGTCATTGCCGTCGAAACCCGCACACTCGAGCGCGTGATCCCCGCGGACCCCGCGAATCCGCACTCGAACGAGCAGCGCGTCTTTGAAGCCGGTCAGGTCTGGTACCCGAACTCGGCGTACAAGACGGCACAGGCGATCGTCGACTTTGACCGCGAGGGCCTCCCGCTCCTCATGCTCGCCAACTGGCGCGGCTTCAGCGGCGGCCAGCAGGACATGTACGACGAGATCCTCAAGCAGGGCAGCAAGATCGTCGATGGCCTCGCCCAGTACCACCAGCCTGTGTTTGTGCACATCCCGCCTGCCGGCGAGCTGCGTGGCGGCTCCTGGGTCGTCCTCGACGCACAGGTGAATGCTCGCGGCATGATCGAAATGTCCGCCGACAGCGACAGTGCGCGTGGCGGCGTGCTCGAGGCGTCCGGCCTCGTGGAAATCAAGTTCCGTGCCGAGCTCCAGCGCGCCACCAAGATGCGCCTCGACCCCACGTTCGCCCACTTGACGCACGCCGTCCACGCGGCTGCGCCCTCCGACAAGCCCGCGCTGATGCAGCGCCTGCAGGAGCGTGAGAAGCACATTGCGCCCTTCTTCCATGCTATGGCCGTCGAGTATGCAGACGCCCACGACCGCGCTGGCCGCATGCTCGCGACGGGCGTGCTCAAGTGTGCGATGCCCTGGGCCGCCACACGCCGCTACTTTTACTGGCGCTGCCGTCGCCGCCTCATCGAGGCACGCTACCAGCACGCGCTCGCCGACGCCATTCCTTTCTTGCAGCCGCGTGACTGTCTCGCGCGTATCGAGGCGGCCGCGTCGTACGTATCTACCGATGCCGACGAGTTTGCCGTTCGCCAGCTCGAGTCGCACCTGTCGCATCTCGACGCCGCTGTCGAACATGCTCGGGCCGATGCGATGCTCGAGGCTCTCTCGGCCCTGTCGCCCGGCGCGCGGGAGCGCATCCTCTCTATACTACAGCAAACATAAAACGGCTCCATCTTTCCCCACACCTCCCGCACGTCTTCACATAGCCCATGCGTTCGTGTCTATCTATACATGTTTCCCATTCCATACATCGTATGCAAGCGTATCTGGTGGACCATACCCGGCTAGCGTGATAGATCGTCCTTCTCGCCCCACAAAAGCCTCCAACAACCCACCAAGTCTGTATGGCGTGCCTTGCTTGGAAGAAGAGCACGACCCCATCACAGAACGGACGACTCTTTCTCTCTCTCTCTCTTTCACTCGTTCTCTCTTCAAGCGCACCTGCTGCCTCGCTCTAGCGCTGTCCTGTCTGTCCGAAAGGTACATTCATGCATTCGCATGGCCCGTCTGACTAGGCGCCTGAAGCGCCGCTGAGTGATTCGCTAGCGCACCTGGCACACTCGAGACCGGCGACTTGGCCAGCTCCAGACGCAGTGCGTAAAAGTGCTGTGCATCATCATCGTTGACAAACGACATCGCGTGCCCCTTCTTGCCTGCACGGCCCGTACGACCAATGCGATGGATGTACGAAGCAAACTGCGTGGGAAACTGGTAGTTCACCACGAGCGACACATCAGGCAAGTCAATACCCCGTGCACCAATGTCCGTGCAGCAAAGCACCTCGTTGTACCCATCCCGCAGCGACGCTATCGCTGCCTCTCGCTGCGGCTGCGATAGACCCGAATGCAGCACAGCCACATTCCAGCCCGCTCGGCGCAAGTCCTTGCCGACAAGATCCGCATTCGCCTTCTGGTTCACAAATACAATCATCGGCGGCGCAAAGCCACTATCCAGCACATGCAGGAGCCGCTGCTGCCGATCCTCCTCAGAGTCGACAAACTCCACACACTGCTCAATCGTGCCGACGGCCTGGCCTGCCTGGCCTATCGTCACGGTCACTGGCCGCGTCAGATACGTCCGTGCAATCTTGTCCACGGTCGGCGGCATCGTCGCTGAATACAGCATCGTCGTCCGCGTCGTCGGCAGACTGTCGAGAATATAGTGCAACGCTTCCTCATAGTTCATGTCGACCATGCGATCCGCCTCGTCCATCACCAGATAGTGGCACTGGCCCAGCACAAGCATGTGCCGCTCCAAGCAGTCCTGCAAACGGCCCGGCGTCGCTATCACAATCTCGGCACCATCGTTCAGATGAAACGCCTGCTCGCCCAAATCGCGTCCACCCACGAGCGACACCACTTGGATCTGCAGGCGCGCTGCAAACTTTCGCGTCTCAGCCTCTATCTGCAGCGCCAGCTCACGTGTCGGCGCAAGAATCAGCCCATACGGCCCCATGTACACATCGCCTGGCGCCATGCGTGGCTGCGCCATGACATACGCGAGCATCGGCACGACAAACGACGCCGTCTTGCCAGATCCCGTCTCGGCAAGACCAATCAGGTCGCGAGGAATCAGCCCAATCGGAATCGCCTGCCGCTGGATCGACGTCGGCTCTCGGTAGCCCATCGCCTCGATCGCATCGAGGATCGCTCCTGGAATCCGCGATTCTCGCCACGTACGCAAGGGCGGCGGCACATCTTCGCCGCCCCGCACCTGGATCTGGTAGTCCTCGCGGAAGATGCGCCAGTCCCGCGGCCGCATCTCGCTCAGACTCTTTTCTGTCCATGGCTTCTCAGCCAAAGTCGATCGCATCGTGCTCTTCCCCGTCAGACTCCGCTCCGATCCATCCAGACCAGCCCGCCCACGAAGCAGCACTTCTTCCACGCGTGCATCACCCGCCACACGCGCATCGCTCGTGTCGTCGTCCGCACTCCACTCAAACTGAAAGCGCCTCGTCGCATTGTCGCCTGCCCGTCGCACACGCCGCGGCCCTCGTTCGCGCCGCACACCCAGGTACCGTTCCTTAATGTCTGCTAGCTCCTGCGGCGCCATCGCTGGCACCTTTCTCGGCCGCTCGTCTTGTTCATCTCCATCATCCTCATCGCGGTCGCCTGACGCGGCTCGGCGGCCTCGTGCACGCATTCGCTCACGTTCTCGCTCGCGCTTCGATGTGGCCTCCCACTCTACACGCTCGTTCTGGACCTTGGCATGCCGTGCCTCTTCTGCCTCTGCCTCCGCCTTTTGTTCCGCTTGTCGGTGTGCCTCTCGCTCCCTGCGCGAGACAAAGCGCGGGCGCTGCGCACTCGTATCTTTGGCTTGCTTCGCTACAAGCTGGTCAACTGAAAGGGGAAGCACCATCCTCCTGATGGGGACCGGCCCACTAGTGTCGGTGTGCTTTGATCGTGCTGCAGGAGGGGTCGCCGTCGCTGATATAGACGTTCTCACACCAGATTACATAAATCCTTGCCTGGTCGACAACTCTGCGCACGCCTTCGCTTCCTTCCGACACGGCACTTGGAAAGACATGTGGCTGAAATGAGCTCGCCTCGCTCCGCCACGCCACGCAACAAAGCGCGCGTCGAGAGGACCTGCGACGGTCTATGGAGGTGGATATCTAGTCTCAGGTGGTGGCCAGAAAATCAGATCAGTCACGTGTTCGCTCCCCTCCTTCTAGCCTCCCTGTGGACATCCTCCCATTTCGCAAGTCGACGCTCCCTCTCTATCTCTCTCTCGGCTTCGTCTTACCCACGGCCCCTTTTTACACTCACGCACGGCTTTCCACTGTGCCCATACCCACCTTCCCACATATAGCTCGCCCTTTGACTGCAAGAGATGCTGCTGGGACAACGACCGATGGCGCTCTTGCAGCGTGTGCATACGTTGACCGGCAAATTGGCTTCTATACCTCGCGCGTGGGCGTCGCCAGCTATGCAGGCACCCTTACCCGCAACATATGCCACCGCAGCTGTGCGGATCGGCAACTTGGCACCAGCTGCCCCCAAAAAGCAACGCAAGCGTCTGGGTCGTGGTAGCGGCACAGATCGCGGTGGCACCTCGACCCGCGGCCACAAGGGTCAAAAGGCCCGCGCCGGAAATGGCAAGCCCAAGCCCGGCTTCGAAGGCGGTCAGACACCACTGACACGCTTGATTCCAAAGCGTGGATTCACCAACCCACACAAACAGCATTTTGCGCCCTTGAATCTCGACCGACTGCAATTCTGGATCGATCAAGGCCGAATCGACGCTTCAAAACCCATCACAGCACGTGAACTCTATGAAAGCCGATGTGTCCACCGTGTGCGTGATGGAGTCAAGCTCCTTGCCGATGGCAAAGAACATCTACGCACGCCAGTGAATCTCGTCGTCTCGCGTGCATCCCACGCGGCCATTGCTGCTGTCGAACAAGCTGGCGGCTCCATCGTATGCCGGTACTACAATGCCACAAGCCTACGAGCACTCGTCATGCCGCACAAGTGGCTCGCTAAGAATGAGCCGTTGCCTCACTTTGCTGACCCAGTGTCGCAGAGCGACCTGCTATGGTACTCGTCGCCCAACAACCGTGGATACCTTGCGCTGCGAGACCGGATCTCAGCAACCACGCCCTCGTCGCCCACATCATCAAACTCTTCCTCATAGACGTACTTCTTTCTGCCTCGCGCGCCTCTCTTGTGTGTTACTCTCAAAAATTTGCGTGCCACTCGCAACCTGGATTGTATTTCACCCCCTACCTCTTTTTTTTCAGCGGCTCGCTTCCATTGTTCTCTTTCTCGCAGGCTTCTGTGGTCGCTGGACTCCGTACCCTTCTTACCTAAGCTAGATGGCATGCATGTTGGAAATTGTATATTCCACGTTTGCCCAAGTTACGCGCTCTGGGCGATTATGAGTGGGCAGATTAGAATCTCGGTCCTCGGGCTTTGCAGGCCAAGCCGAGTCCAAAGTCTGCGCGCAATTGCGTGTTTCAGTTTGCGAACATCGTACGTCAGTTTCGTGTTCAACGACCATGGCTCGCGATCGATTGGCGGCGATGCGAGCGCAACAAGCGTCAGCGGCTGGCGGCTACACCAGTCCTGGCACTGGCGCTGCCGCCGGCTACGGTGGCGCCCAGCCCCAGCGCAACTCTCAGCAAGGGTTTAATACAGCACAGCAGGCTATAGACAGCTACTACCAACAAGAGTATGGTAACAATGGCTATGGCGACCATATGTTCCCTACGCAGCAGTCCACTGGTGCACCATACCAACCACCATCGGAGATGCAGCCTGAACAATCCCAGCAGTATGCCCAGCAGCAGTATGCCCAGCAGCAGTATGCCCAGCAGCAGTATGCCCAGCAGCAATATGCCCAGCAACAGTACGCCCAACAACAGTACGCCCAACAACAGTACGCTCAGCAACAGTATGCACAGCAGCAACAGCAGCAGCAGAAGCGGCGCTCATATCAAGCTGCTCAGCAACAGCCAGCTGGCTACGTAATGCAGCAGTCGGAAGAGACGACGTACGTTCCGCCCACGTCCAACCCTTCAACGGCTTATGCACCCGCGACTATGACGCAGCAGCCAGACACGTACGAAATGACCGCGCTGCAGGGCGCGTCAGGCCGCGCTTACACGACGGATCAGAATGCAAACATGGGCATGCCTGGCGGTGGCTCAACCATCGCAGGCATGATGGGCGGTGGTGTGGCTGGAACTAGCGTGCCTGGCGTTGCAGCTGGCTCTGCCACTGGTCTAGATGCTGGGATGGCTGGAACGGCTTCTGCGGCCGGTTATGGCGCAGATGGAACGCAGAATGACACCTACACCGTCAACATGTCATCGGATCCGGAAGCGGCGGCATTCAACAGCAATACTAACACGTTCTTCGGCAAGATCAGCGAGATCCAGGACACAATCCGCCAGATCGACATGAATGTAAACCGTATTTCTGATCTTCACTCGCGCTCGCTCAACAACGTCGGCGAAGCCGCGCAACTAGCTGCTGAGAGTGAGCTTACGAGCGTTGCGCAGCAGACAAGCATGTTTACGAACTTTGTCAAAACATCTATCAAATCCCTCGAGGCAGAAGCCACGAAAACCCCTGCGTCGGGACCCGCACCAGAGGGCGTCGGTCGGAATGTGCGTCTCACCCAGATTGGGGCTCTGAAGAACCGCTTCAAAGAGACCATCATGCGGTACCAAGAGGTCGAAAAGGCCTATCGGTCCAAGTACCGCCAGCGCACGGAACGTCAGTTGCGCATTGTGAAGCCTGATGCAACACAGGCAGAAATTCAGAGCGCCCTCGAAGGCGAGTCTGATGGACAACAGATCTTTTCACAAGCACTGATGAACTCGAACCGCCAAGGCGAAGCCCGCGGTGCACTACGCGAAGTACAGGAGCGCCATTCCGATATTCAGCGCATCGAACGCACCATCACAGAGCTGGCTGCCCTCTTCCAAGAAATGTCGATCCTTGTTGAGCAGCAAGACGAGCAGTTGAATGTGATTCGTGACCATGCGCAGCACACCGAAAAGGAAGTGCAGGCTGGTCGCCAGCAGACCGATAAGGCCGTTGTTGCGGCTCGTCGCGCGCGCAAGCGCAGGTGGATCTGCTTCTGGATCTTGCTTTTCGTCATCATTATCGCTGTCGCAGCTATCGTTGGTGGTGTTTGCGGTCATGGCAGCTGTGGCGGTAGCAAGGACTAGAGCTTTTCTCGTGTCGTTGTGCGTTGTGTTTGTATTCAAGCGAGTAGCTTTTCATTTACTTTGTACTTCGAATCGATCCGCTATTTTTGGCTATGTAGACACGCTGGATGGGACATCGGTTCGACGGTATCTAGGCCATGACATTGCCACGTGCATCTGGCTGTTCTTCAGAGAGGCTGCTCAGTACCTCGAGAACGGAAATTTGCCCCCATTGGCGAGTGTATGTGCCTGGATTCTCGGTTCCCCACCGATGCACTGCATGATTCCCTCCACGCTACATCTACAACCCTTGTCAGCACTTGAGAAGTGAATGGCTCGTGATGGACCCCTGTGAGGGCGTGATTTTGACCTGGTGCTATCTACTTCCTTGTATGTATAAGGTCTTCAATTAACTTATCTAAGGTCAATGGTCTTGTGAATGCTGCGATTACTGTGGTTGCTGCTATGTGCATTGCTGCAATAGGGCATGGCAGGGCAAATCCCAGCTCCCATACGACGACTACCAGCGAGAGCAAGAAGAGCGTGCCGTTCAAGATGGACTCCAAAACAAAGGGCAAGATGTAGAAAGCCACGGAACATATCCTAATGCGCCTGCCATGGTCGTGGGTTCTCAGATGTCTGCGCCCACGCTTTAGACGAGCGGTCCATAGCACAATGCGCTAGGCTCCGCTGTGGGCCATTGCACCACAAACCTGTCGACCGCATATCGCAAGATTCGCGCAGATAGTGATAATGAAGTAACTCTCGCGAATGATTCAATGTACAGCATCCGGGGTGTGGGTATTCCGATAATCTGTGATGCAGGTAAGCACACGAGTCAGGTACTGGGTTGGTATCAACATACACGCATAAAGATGATAGCGATAACGACCGGGACGCACGTAGCTGGGCCATTCATGATGAGCACATCAGCCCATGGCACATGTTCTTCGCGTGATTTATCACGTCGTCGGAAGATTGGGGCGAGACCTAGGTGCCATACACAGAACGCAGTGCTGTTCGCAACGGACAACGGTGTCGTAAGCCAGCTTTGCTTCACCACACGGGCGCGTGGAATACATAGACCCTGCATTTCATGTCGAGCAAGGCTGCCTCCCTCCGCATCAGCCGCCTTTTTAAGACTTAGCGCATCGCCCGTCGTTGTGAAGTAGATGCGCGGGGTATATTGGTCCTGCGGCAATGCACGTAAAATGGTAAGTAGCTCAGCCGTATGACCGCCTGATCCAAGCAGCGCTGCAATACACAGTTGACGTTGCGGCCTTTTCGGCGGCGCACGTCGTCGAACTTGGTGAATGCGACCTATGCATCCGAGCCCAATGATGGCACTCATACACAACGAGCACAAAATTAGACACACCCACATGAAAGATCACAGTGCATGGGGAAATTGGGTCAAAATTTGTTTTCTTGTCACACATCTGACTATCTGATGTTTGATTTTCCCCCCGCATCCCACAATTCCTTGTTGGCCACATGATTTATCCACCCCCTCCCCCCGCTCCACCAGTGCGACAGGTACACACTTTCATCCAATCATTTGCACAGTGCTCATTTGGAGCCCCTTCTTACTCGAAAGGCAAACACGACCATATCTGCCGTTTGCATGCTAGCCGCGTATGCCGCTTGAGTCTAGGCTGAAGCCCCTCATTGCCGAGTTGAATCAAGAGAGAGAGACAACAGAAGTAGTCCAATCGCACTTTCGCCGGCCGCGACGGAATCCAGCCTTCTCAAGTACGTCGAAACTTATTGTGCTCCGGGATGACCCAGAATCAGCCTCGGCACACTGTGGAAGCTCGCGTCCCCAGGAGCCTTCACAGTTTATCGTGCAAGAACTCGAAGATGTAGACGATCAGGATTCACATGTTCCAACTCCTCCCACATCACTTACACCCTCGCAGGTCATCAATAACGATGTACACGAATCTGTGCTCGGCACATTTGAGCGCCGGTCTCATTTCCATAACCACGCTCCAACACAACACGAAGCACCAAGACCAAGCGAGGGTCTATCGGCTGACACACCAAGTTTTTTTAAAGAGTGCTTCCCAGACTCTGCTACATGTGCGCCGGGACTTGCACACAACCATCTAAATACATCGCGTATCGATCAGCAACGCGAACCGGGATGCGAACCAACGCAAGCGAAACCACAGGCTCAGGAGCATGCCCAGTCACAGGAACAGGCACGTCCACCAACGCAGCACATGAGCCCATTTATCCAGGTACCGTCTTTATCGACCGCATCTTCTTCATCATTGAGCGCGGATGAAGCGACTAGTCCCGATCACCCGAAGTCACTATTGCCACCGACCATGTCCACGTCTTCGTCCATGTCATCACTCCAGTCATTGTCGCCGGTGAACGAGTCGACACAGGAAACATCTCGAGGCGAGCCGACGCTCTTTGCCAAAGAAGTGCGCGTCCGCGGCTGGCACAGGGTCGGCGCACTTACACATGGCTGGATCATGTACGACATCCAAATTACTGGACATTCAGACACGGTCCTCAAGATCAGTAAGCGGTACAGCGCCTTTGTCTCACTGCACGAGCAACTTGCTTACGAGCGTCCCAGCTATGCAAGGCAGTTACCGAATCTACCGGCACGACACGTCGGCCTGTGGCAGCGGTATCATCCATTGTTCTTGGAGGATCGCCGACGTGCGCTGCAAAAGTGGCTCCAGTCCACTCTTCTCGATGAGCGCTGGGGCAATGCACGCGCGTATAAAAACTGGATCCTTGAGCGTTAGGACTGCGTCGACAAGACTCTAAGCATCTCAGCCCCGACCTTGTTGGCTTCCGTGAGTCGCGGCGCGAAGAATGCACGTGTCATTTCAAAGCGCCGGCGATACGCGTCAAAGTCTCCGAACTGCACAGCCTGTGCCCACCCGCGAGCGGCAATAACGAACTCCAGGTCGTCCGCGCGGAACCGAACGTCGTCGACGGCTGCTCGGCATGCTGCCAAGACGCTGTCTGGCGAGCGGAACAAGTTCTGAGTCACACCGATCCACATGCGGAATACAGGTGTTGCAGCAAGCTCCAAATGCCGGTATGGATCGATGCCAAGGACATGCCAACAGTCGACGATCGCAAGAAGCGACAGATGCGAATTTGCCGGTGGCGCTTCTTCACGCACAGTCCGCTCAGCCTCCGCAGCGCTCTTCTCGCCTTTGTTGACCCGCTCTGCAATCACATAAAACTCGTCCAACATCTCATCGCTTACAAGAATCCGCGAACGACCAGGCAGGTTCGTGCCCACTTCCGTGTCTTGCCAGCCAAATACACTGCGCCGGGCGCTCAGTACGCGCTGCACGAGCGCATCATATTTGCCCTCGAGCATAAGCTGGAATAAAGCTGTTGCACTCGCTGCGTATTGCGTCACTTGCACGCTCGCCTCTGGATTCAGTAATGCGAGGCCCGCGAATACATGCCATTTTGCGCCATAGATGCGCAGACACAAGTAAATTTTCACTGTTTCCATGCCGCCTGGATTCTTGCCTGTCACCCATGGATATGCTTGGAGCTGCGCCCAGGCAGTGCCCATTGTCAGGAATGCTGCATGTGTGACTGCCTGTGTGTTCGCTGTCACCGTGTCATGCTCCTCATAGCTCATATACACATAGCGGGACTCGAGGCATGCCAAGATGCGCTCGACCAGATGTGGCTTGTCAGCGGGTGCGCGGTGCTGAATCAGGATGAGTGGCTGCCCGCGTGGATCAACATGCGGGCCATGCAGGGAATGACACGAAATAATGTGCACGTCCTGAGGTAGATACTTCTCGAATGCATCTCGCTCTGGCGCCTTTACACTAGTCTGTTCAGATACCACAGCACCAACTTTAGTCGATGACCCGTACTCGGCCACGACCTTTTGGATATTCCCTGCTTCCAAGGAGTACACAACAAAGTCACATTGAAGCGATACAAGGTGTCCATCGCGTAAAACCGTCAGTTCTGTGCCCTGAAATTCATCCCGGAGCGACTCATACTTTTCCGGCCGATCACACACGTTCACATGAGCCCATCCTGCAGCACGCGGCCTCGTGGTATAAAGACGACCCATATCTCCCATGCCAATGATGCCCAAAGACAGCTGGCGCTGTGGTTTCTCTTTTTCGGCGCTTGCTACAAAAGTGGTTTGCCATGTTACAATGACGTACATGGATCCTCAATGTAATAAGGTTGTGTTTGTAACATTGTAATGACAATTGAGCTGTAACATTTAATTTCGGAAATGCTGGTTCCTAAGCTGGCCGGCATTTAATTGAGAATTTAAAATATAACTGTCATGATGAGGCATTTGCTCTTTTCTCATTTTTGAAATCACAATTACAGCCATGCTCCAACCCGTTGCAACTATCAATATGTGCATTCTGCAGGCTCTAACTTATAGGTGCTGGCACATTGCTCAAAGATCTAGCTCTCCTACTCTGAGGTGGAGGAGTTGCAAGGCGCTAGTTCAAGCTTCTCGCTACCATCGAGAACAAGCACGTCTTTTGCATATGGATTAAGAGCAAGGACCACAATTTTGTCGTCATCGAGGATAATTATGGCTCGAAGTCGGAGTTTAATATGCTTGGGAGGGCTTTGGGTGCGTGATTGTGACGACGTTATTCCATACCGCAGGAGTGAACGTACAGGGCATTGATTGAGAGTACCTCCATAGCTCTAGGCCTGCACAGCTGCAGATGTCGGCCGTAGTCACTTGAATTTGAGGAGTAAAATCAGGGTAGGATTTCCGAGTATGAAGTGGCCGCAACGACGATGGTATTTTTCGCTGAGTGTCCTATGGTGACTATTTTCGTGGTTGTGTGAGACTCAGTGCCAGCACACACTCAATGCACAAATAAGAATGACTGGAATGAGTCCGAAATTACGCAGAAATCATTCATTGCTGGAGCTGGGTTGTAGTGCCAATGACTCTGGAGGTGTGTAGGCATTCGGACACGGAGTCTTTTGAGCCCTTCAACTTGAATGAGATCTCGTCATGAAGCCACAATCACTTTATCCCAAAGATGAATAAAGCCAGAGATATGCGTTATGTCTCTCCACTCGAGAAGCTTGTGACCTATTGTGAACTTGGTTCATCATCACATCGCTGCGCGCTCGTATTTTGGCATGTCGAATGAGGAACTTCAATGCTAGAAATGGGTCATTTGGATCGTTGACGGGATGCAAGGAGCTATCTATGCAAAGTACGGCATTGTTAAAAAGCGGACAGCGAAATAGCTACGATGGTTATTTGTCGTTCCTTCAATGAGTAGAGAAGAAATACAGATGTTGTATCGTACGACACATTTTGAATTCAGCTTTGGGCAGTTACAATACTATGACGCCGCACGGATCGGTGTGTGCCATTCGATGCACAGTTGCGCTCCTTCGGCGTGAATTAGTAACTTATTGACATGCTGTGTCCTAGTAGACTCCCCAAACATGTGGACAGGGTTTTAGAAAACAATGGGGCAACCTTAGATGTACAAGATTGTCGTACACTCCTGCGGCAAGAATTAATTGGACAAGAGATACATCATCATGACGTTGGCCAGGGATTCTTGATGTGATGACGACATCACGGTCAATTTTACATCCAAGTAAGGATTTCAAGTTTCTGACAACATATGTCTTTTTACTCATTAAGCCAGTGTCCATTAAATTTGCGATTGGCTCGTTAGCTATTAAGATCTTGATTGCTATTTCGAGTCTGCGAATGTATCAGGACATGAGTCTTGCGCTCGAAAGGCGTCTGGTGCAGTGAAACCAGAGTTTTTTTTGTATGTGTTCGCTTTTAAGTGAATGATTGAACCCAGATAAACGTTTCTCTCGATCCCAACATCGAATGTAAGATGCATTAAAATTTGTATTTCCCAGACTCATTATCATCATTTATTTCTCGTTTCTGTGTACTTTGAGTTGAGGGGGCATTTCCATTTCGTTCCCAACTATTGAGATATTGTTGTTGTCGCATTATACGATATCGAAGGGCAAATTCATACAGACTGACAAACTTATAGCTACATCAAGAAATACCGTCAACAATAGTTCTTATCCATGCGGATAAGATAAATGATTCCATATTTTAAGATATTACTCCTGCACTTCTGAGTGTATGATTATTCTAAATAGGATTCAACTCTTGGCTCATCTTTAGTTCCAGCGTCGACAGCCTCCTCGATGTGTTATATCTAGCAACAAAACGCTAGCCACGTAGCCTTGTTCTTGCTCAGGGGCCACGCCAGGGTGAATTGGGAAAATTAACACTCTCTGAGCGTAGGCATATCGGAGTGCAAGATTTGACGTATGAAAAATTTTGAATCATACCGCCCGCATAATGGGCAAAACAAATAATCAAATATTGCGCCCAAATAAATTTTGCTGCCTATATCTGTCTGCAATGCCTTACAGCTGCTGTTTTATCCAGGCTGACACAAAGCTTGATCCCCTGTAGCATGTGCAGCCATTCTCGACCACTTCGTTAAGAATGCTTATGATTTTCCCATTCTGCATTTTGGGATCAAGGCGATGTGTTAAATGGGAATCAATCGAAGTGCATTATGCTGGCCTCAAGATTGCTTAAATGTACATACGAGAATGGGCACGAGGTTGGCACGATTGGCCATATTTAAGTGGCAAAGTTGATAAATGAGACTCATCATCCACACCGGAGTGACGTTTTCTCACAATCACTACGCGCTCAAATAAAATGTTGTGCTTTTATAAAGCCTTTCATCTATCACCTCGGACTTACCGGTGCTGAATGAATTGAATAAATGGCTTGTGTCAAACAACTCTCAGATATGCGTGTTTTATCTTTCTAGTATTTTTATCGTCAAGATGGCGCTCGCTCCGCTTTTCGATCACTATTTTTAACATATGAAGACGCCACGCCTGCAAGCTTGTATGCATTTAAGCTAAATATCAAGTGCCAGTGACAATCCCACAGTACGACTTCCATCGTGGTCGACCATTTATCAATGTTTGTGGCATTCTCGGTTCTTGCTGCTGCCGCGCTGTTCGTGGGCGGGGGGGGGGCGCAAAATGTGACTAAGCTAAGGTCGATCTAGCTCATTTTTTCGACGTAACACGGCCGATTGATTTTGCAACATCAAGCCTAAATAAAGAACACAATTTGCTGTTTGTTTCGTGTTTCGTAATTCTGAGGGAGTTATAAATGTGTGGACTAATAGTCTTCAAACGGGTATGCAGGGCTTACATGAGCCGCGAGCGGTCAGGATGAGGAATCGGTAATGAGATGTAGGAGCTTTTCATATGTAGTACAATCAAGCTCAAAATCCCAATCAATAACGAATGCGAAACAACTTATCACGCTCCATTCGGACGTGTATGACCATGTCCAGACCATATTCTGCATTGCCCTTGATGGATTTTTGGGTAACTATAAATGAATCAAGAATACCTCAGCTGCCTTTGTATGAAGAATCGCTGTAAGTGTCATTATATGTATGGCGTGACATTCAAGCCAGAATTTGATCATCATATCTAGCGAAAGAGGGGCGAATTTCTAACTATTCATGATATGATTAGGATTTTGGTGATTAGACCTGTTACCAAGGGCTCAGTTTAACAACTATAGTTTCACGCAGCTTAAACGTTGAAATGGTGTATTATATCAGGAGTAGATGTAAGCTTAACATGTTTGGCAAATCGATGGATATATTTTCTACTGGGAGAGAGGGGAATTTTACAATATCGACTATATAACAAAGTATGAACGGCTGCAATCAATCAAGCTATTTTGGGCAGAACCAAATCAACAATCTAAGGAGCAAAATTCCCGTGGCTCGTCATCATAACATATCAAGCCCGCTCTATTCGCTGATAATCGAATTATCGAAATAGGGTTTCCCACGTGAAACGTGCACGTGGGACAATGACTCGCGCAACATTTGTATCACGTCATTGTTGGGACTTCTAAGCATGGCACGTGCTATATGATGCTGGTAAGGCTAATTATGGCGGGACGTCAAAAGTGAGACAATATAAGAGAACAAATAATGCAGCAGAAATGTCGGGATAGCAATATTGACGTGTTGTGTTCGGTTTTGAAATTCGTATATGGAGAGTATCACCCAGACTATGAATACACGCGTAGTCGGTCTCGAATCACTTGTATCACCTTCGATACTCAAAGACGAACTACCTGCAAGCGAACGATCAAAAGCAACAGTTGACCTAGGACGTAAAAACGCAGCAGCTATCATAAATGGAAAAGATGATCGACTTTTGGTTATAGCTGGACCATGTTCAATTCACGATTCGGAACAGGCGAGTCATTACGCACAGCGACTCTACGACGAGTACAAGCGACGCTGGAAAGACGGACTTGTTATTGTGATGCGTGCTTATTTTGAAAAACCTCGCACGACTGTTGGTTGGAAGGGCCTTATCAACGATCCACATATCAATGGCACTTGTAAAATTAACGAAGGCCTTCGTGTTGCTCGCCAGGTCCTTTTGGACGTGACAGAGATTGGGTTACCAGTCGCATGTGAAGTCCTAGACAATTTCACGCCCCATTATCTTTCAGACCTGTACTCATGGGGAGCCATTGGTGCGAGGACTACTGAGTCACAACTGCATCGTCAAATTGTTTCGGGCTTATCGATGCCGATCGGGTTCAAGAACTCGACAGATGGCGGTGTTGGTGTTTCATTAGATGCAATCCGTGCGTCGAGTCAGCCTCACACATTTATTAGCCTCACAGACCAGGGCATGTCCGCGATTGTCTCGACAACCGGAAACCATGACCTCCACATTATACACCGTGGAGGTAAATCCGGAACTAATTATGACGAGCATAGTGTTGCTGCGAGCAAGGTGGAATTATCTAACACGCTCCCGAACAAATGTCCGAGCATTATGATCGACGTGAGTCATGGCAATAGCAACAAAGATCACCGAAACCAAATGAAGGTCGCGAATGATGTTGCTGATCAGATTGAACGAGGCCAGGATGCAATCATCGGTGTTATGATTGAATCCAATATCAAAGAGGGAAAGCAGAGTGAACCTAAGAACGGACGCACGAGTGATGACTTAGAGTATGGTGTATCCATTACTGATGGATGCGTAAGTCTTGAAACAACGACTGAAATATTGGATCGATTGTATGCAGCAGTACTCGCACGAAGGCTAAAGCTTAGGCAACCAAGAACTGCGAAGACTTAAAGTGTTGCGTATATCTTTACAATAGGTCAATTTGATAATATTTTGACACAATATACAAAGGCGATAGCAGCTTATGAGCCACAGGAATTGGACTGAACAATAAGGAAAATCTCACAATCATGGGAATCACGACCAAAACACAACATAAATCAACCAGTCAGTCGACCATGACTAACAACAATCGGGGAAATGCCGAAGCACTTTTATCGCATATTCCCCCAATCTTGTAAGACTGGAAACATCGCGTAAGTGAGAGATGAAACATTATTATCAAAGAATCACAACGCAAATTTATCCAAGCAGCATCTTAAAGCAAAGACGGATGAAAATAATGAAAAAACTTCCCACTCGCTCAAATCACAGGTAATTTATATTTTTGGTCACATCATTTCTGCGCTACCGCAGGTACGAAATAGAGGCCTGATGATTTTATCCTTGACACGTGCACAGCCCTTGCAGGTATCCTCAACAAGCATGTAGGTTTGGATGTCTGAAATGCGGTTTATAAGTGTAACTTTTGTCACTTCAACTGTCCAAATAGTGATCGCTGCGACGTCATGGAGAAAGCCTCAAACAAAGATCAGGTCTATGTAGGAAATTATCTCCTGCAGAGGTTGAAACAAATGGGGGTGGGGTCAATATTTGGCGTTCCTGGCGATTTCACGTTTGGACTGTGTGATTTGATCGAAGACATGCCAGGATTGTCGTGGATAGGAAACGCCAATGAACTCGGTGCAGCGTATGCTGCCGACGGCTATTCCCGTGTGAATGGATTTGGTGTCCTCCTCACGACATGGGGTGTTGGTGAACTGTCAGCGCTGAATGGAGTAGCTGGTGCTTATGCAGAGAGAATTCCTTTGCTTCATATAATCGGCTCTCCCCCCACCATACAAGCCAAAAAGCGCCTTCCTATTCACCATTCCTTCGCTGATGGAGACTTCGGAGTGTATAAGAGAATATCCGAGCCTGTATCGACGGTAATGGAGGAGATCAGTGAAACAGGTCAAGCGGATACGATAGACCACGTCTTGCGGTGTGCACTGCAAGACCGGCGTCCTGCATACCTTTCCATTCCAACGGATATGGTCTTTAGAGAGATCTCAGGTGCTCCACTCCTTTTCCCCTTAGTGGAACAGAGTCGTGGTCCAATCTCACCTCTAGATGAAGAAATTGCACGCCGAATTTTGACCTACATTGAGGCTGCGCAATGTCCTGTGATCATTGCCGATGTTCGAGTGCGACAATATGGCTGTTCTGAGGCTTTGAGCAAATTGCTTGACACGTTGCAGCTACCGACTTTTGACACTCCCCTTAGCAAAGGTTTGGTTGATGAAACTGCACCCTCATTCATGGGTACTTATATTGGTGCCAGCTCAAATCCTGAAGTGGCAAGTAGGCTTGGTGAGGCTGATCTCGTTGTGCGCTTTGGATACCTGGAGACTGATTCGAATACAGGTGGCTTTAGTGCTAAAATTGACCCTCACAAGCTAATTGATCTTAATGTGAAACAAGTGCAGTTCTTTGACGGTCCTGAGCAAAGTGTTTCAATGATGATACATATTCTTGAGCACCTTTCTGCGCATGTGTCTAGGTGTCCCATCTCAAAACAAGCACCTGTTTTTGATTCAAGAAATAACATTGTGTCAAACACGGACTCAGACAGTATGATCACCCAACCTCATTTATGGGCAAAAATATCTCAATTCCTTAAACCCAACGACGTGGTTATATGTGACACTGGAACAGCATCGTTTGGTGTGACGGATATCCGACTCCCGAGGGATTCTAAGCTGCTTTCTCAGATGCTTTACAATTCGATTGGATGGTCCGTTGGTGCTGCCGTAGGTGCTGCAAAAGCTTTGCAAGAGCAGACGATTGGCAAACTACCTAGGCGTCTAATTATAATCGTGGGCGACGGGGCTCTTCAGACTACAGTTCAGGAACTGTCTACACTTCTTCGTATTCGTGCTAGCAACGTGATCATTATTGTGCTGAACAACGATGGATATACCATCGAACGCGCACTTCATGGTGCCTTCAGGCAGTACAACGATATTATGCCCTGGAACTACTCAAGGCTACTAAAGGATTTTGGTGCAGACCAAAATGAACGAAACAGTATCGTCGCAAAAACTGCGAAAGATGTGCAATGTGCTTTCGACGATTTTACAGCCTCGAGCACACAATCGATTATGTTGTTGGAGGTATATCTTGCGCGATGTGATTACCCAAGAATCCTTTCTAAGCTCGGCCAGGTGTCTCGTGAACGGAACTCGTACGGATATGCTCCAGAGTATAATAACTAAGTAGACAACTTGTAAGATAGCTAGAGTTACACACACCTGTTTAGAAGGCTCTATGAATCGATTCGGATCTAAATCAGAGTGCTGGCATCTTGGAGCGCTCGGCTTTGAATTTCTCCTCGAGCTCCAAAAGTTGCTTTACGAGATCGCCATACGTTTTTTCCCACGGTGTCCACGTAATTCCCAGCACACGCTCAGCTTTGGATGCATCCAGCCTTGCAATTGGCCCCGGCTGATTCCTTGTACCCGGATTACCAGCTGGTATAGCATCGCGACGTTCTGGAAATGTCTTCCGCAAATAATCAACAACCACTTGCATGTCGACATAGTATCCACAAAGGGCAAAACGTTCTCCGCGTGTAGCTGGATTTGACATAGCGTCAACCAGAGCTTTTGACACGTCACGAACATCAACGGTCTGTGGAAGAAAAGTGGGAGGCACTTCATCGCAAGACCCTGAGACTAAGTGCCAAACATTTGCGCAAGACGTGTTCAAATCTTCGAGCCTTTCCAATGGATGCGCTATCGGTCCAACAATCCCTGGAGGGTTGAATGTAGTCAAAGCAAACGAAGGTTGAGCTTCGCGAACGTACTCCCAAGCTGCCTTTTCAGCAAGAGCTTTACTGGCACAGTAAGTGTAGGCTTTAGATGACGTCCTCGCAATATCATACGTTGCGGGATTCCAGTCAGCTTCTGTGTATGTATAATCTCGAATTGAGCCTCCTTTTTCGAAACAGTTGATGGCAGCAAATGACGAAGTAATCAAGACATGTTCCACGTTCTCTTCATTTGCTGCCTCAAGTACACTCATAGTTCCCTTAATCGCTGGTTCCAGCATTTCAGAGACAGGATCATCGAATGCCATTGTATACGGTGATGCCACGTGCTGTACTATTTTCACATTCTTGAACGCTTGCTTGAGTTCATCTTTGTTACGAATATCTGAAACGAACGCAAGAGAATGGCTTGGTCCAGGCATCGATCGAAGCAATTCGTCACCTTTTTTCTCACTTCGCACAACCGAGCGAACGCGGTATCCACGGGCAAGTGCATCACGTACTACATGTGCTCCAACGAATCCCGTAGCCCCAGTAACAGCAATGATTGGATTAGAGGTGGTCATATTTGTCCAGAGCCAAGATCCAAATGGCAACATACTTGTTTATATATGTGTACGTACACACTTATTTCGGGCTCCGTGATTACAGGACAACAACATTGTTGTCGAGTAAAAAAAAAACAATTGGTTCGATTTTTGCTCGGGATGTTCAACGTGCAGTTTAACCTCCCCGACGACGCACAGACCAGTCTAATACCCAGGCAATTCGATCAGGATTTAAAATGACGGCGGGGTAAAGAGCAAGAGCAATAACAATTTCAAGTTGGATAGCTCGCGAAGATCTTGAGCTGACAGTTTAGTCAACCATCAAACTGCTATGATGTGTGACATTTCTCACAAAGTTCCAGGTGTATTTACGGATAAAGACCACAACATTTTTATTGGTTTCACAGATTATCCTGTTCCCGGTCCTGACGAATGTATTGTCCGAGTTAGAGCTAGTGGTGTGAGTACGGCTTGGTCGATGGTGTTTTCTGACGATGCTTTCAGATTTGTGGTTCTGACTGCTCGAATTGGAAACAAGGAGGCATAGGTGGTTGTCAAATCACGGTACCACTTCGGCTTGGTCACGAGAGTGCAGGCGAAGTCGTGGAGATTGGGGCTAACGTAGACACATTACGAGTTGGTGACCATGTTGCAATCGAGCCTGGAACTGCCTGTGGACACTGCCGACAATGTCGTAATGGCTCGTACAATCTTTGTCCCAAGATGAAATTCAGGAGTGTAGCTCCACATGACGGTAAGAAACATGGACAGTCAAACGGTAACATCTTCAGGTACGCTAGCTGAGTACGTGGTCCATCCTGCAACGTGGCTGCATAAATTATCGGACACAACAGATTGGGGTATCGGTGCTTTGATTGAGCCTATGAGCATAGCCCTTTCTGCTCTTAGGCGTGCCAACTTACAGCTTGGACAGGTACGCATTGGGTAACTGATTTTTTTTTTGTCTGTTTGTATATTCGGCGCAGGGTCTATTGGCCTTATGATTTACTTGTTGGCGAGAGCTGCTGGAGCAACCCCGATTATCCTTGTGGATGTTGCTCTATCGCGCTTAGAGTTTGCAGTTCAACAGCTGGGTGCAAATATCGAAAACGTTGTTCACGTCGACGCCAATCAATCCATGGCTGAAGCTAGCACTAAGGTATTACAGGCGTTCAAGGGTATCAAGCCTGATGTTGCATTCGAGTGCACGGGGTACAGTATGCCCATACATACTTGCTTGGGTGTTCTTGAAGCAGGTGGATGTTTAGTGCAAGTGGGCATTGGCGCACCAGTGAATGAGCTCTCTTTTTCTGAGCTCCTCCACCGACAGGTGGATCTTCGATTTGTCATGCGATCAAATTCATGTTTTGAAGACTGTATCCGTCTCGTAGAGAATGGCGTGGTGGATCCATCTTTGTTAATCACACACGTCTTTCCAATTCAGGTACGTATTCATAATCCTATCGATGTTAACATCCGGTGTTAGCAAGCATCAGAAGCGTTCCGCACATTGTCTCAGCCAGAATCGGGAGCCATAAAAGTCCACATCGTGTGTTGATGCATGGTGTCAATAAAATCTCCCATTCAGACTCCATACAGATAGAACTATGGATTATTGTCAGCACTATAAGACCGTCGAGCGCGTGCAAGGATTGGAGGGCATCGGTATGTTCTGTGTCAAGGGCCCCTGCACACGTACTCTCGAGGGTCCAAAAAGATCACATATGAACCATGCTCTTTCAATTCTTCAAGAATGTAGAAACCCGTCAAAATACGATTCAAGGCCTTGTTTGAAATTGGAAAGTGTTGTCTTAGTACCAAGCCAAAGATCCGGACGCACGACCATGACGCGTTCTTGCTCTAATGAGTCATTAGATTCAATACCAAAAAATGCGTGAGCACTTTCAGCCTCTGGCTTATCATCCAAATATACACTGATCCAAGAATCCGGATCATCTCCTTGGCATGCATTGTTTTGGAACGTGAGACCTAACGGAATCGTCACACATTGATGTGTATCCATGCTGTTGCACCTTGTTGTCACCAGGTGTAATTTGAAAATAGGCTGTGACGTGAATTTTAATCGAAAACTTTCAGGTCGGGCGAAGTGAGCGACGGCATCTAGAACGGATTCTCGAATTAGCCCACTAAATGACCCAATAAAGATAACGATATTGAAAGCAGGGGATGGAAGAAAGCCATCGTATAGGCGCTGGACCCGTTTTCGCGACTGAGAGAAAACAAGTGGATTTCCCATAGGGTGTCCAGGAACAATAGCACTCCCCTCACTGCATACATCTTTCATAGGAGAGGACAGATACGTTTCTGCAATTTGGTCAGCTCGCTGCTTTTTACAAGCCGCCGGCCATGCGTTAAGCAAGCTTGGTTTATAACCAACGTCCATGCCAGTGAGGAGACCAGTATATGTCTTGGCGTACCAAGCGAAAAATGCTTGGTCTTGATCCATGCCCTCTGGTTCGTTTTCGGCCACAAACACAGGTGCTTCAAACTTTTCATCTTCGTTGAACTGAAATTGCTTTGCAAATGTGCTTGTGCTTTGTTGATTACAGAGGAAGCGAAGAAATTGGCTTGATCCCTCCACGATACGTAAGGCAGTGAAGCGGCGTTCCGTCTGATACGACGATAACAGGTTTGGTTTTGCAATACCATAGGCATCTAGAGCAAGTTTCCAAACCAAATTTTGGCTGTCCATGATCCCAGTATTGAGTCCATAAGCACCAGCCGCACTGTGGCAATGCGCAGCATCCCCGGCCAGGAATATGCGGTTAGTAGGATCACAAAAATCCCTGGCGACTCGTTCATTGATACTCCAGATGGTGTACCACTCAATGGGTCCTTTCGGTTTGATGGTGTAAGGATGGAATACCTTCCTAATTCGTTCTAAAGCCGTGGACACAGACTCCTTAGAGCGATCCACAGTAGCTTGACCGTCTTCAGGAATGACATTCACGTATAAACGAGCCATGTTATTCTCCCGGGGAATAATGAGAACACCTCCATGAGTGCTATTAAGCACACAACCGAAAACCCAAGCGTGTGGGAAATTTGTTTCCCATTCACAATCAACAATTTGCCAAACAAGACCAGTTGCGATGCCATCAAATGGAATTGAGAGACTTGCCCGCACAAATGAGTGGGCACCATCAGAGCCAATCAGGTAAGTGGAGTCGCATATAGCCCCGCGATTGTCCCTACCGTCATCCAAATGAAATCTAAGGTTCACTCTCTTGATCCCGGCACTATCCACATGTTCGACTGGATAATAACCACTCAGAGTCGTACATCGGTCGATATGACATCCAAACCGTTCAATATCGCGAATCAGGATTCGCTCTATTTCGGGTTGGCCGATTACCTGAAGAAACTTGAATTCAGATTGGCTCGAGTGGCTGCGGCGAAAGACCATGAATTTCCCATCCTTGTAAAAAATTGTATGGTCGATCCGCGGCCCTGACCCCAGGAACTCGTCAATCAATCCCAGTTGCTTCATAATTTCCAGAATTCGAGGCTGAATAGCGTCAGCACGACCAACACTCAGCGCCGCGCTGGCTTTATCGACAATCTTGACTGTGAGGCCAATTCGCAAAAGTTGAGCCGCAGTGACCAAGCCAACCGGACCAGCTGTTATATCAGGCATAAATGCGTAAGCCGATCATGGAGAATGGTAGTCTCAACCCTTACATACCACCGCATATCATGACATCATACTTTGGCACTGGATGCTGATTATCCTCCTGGTCCTTATAACTTTGGTGATAAAAACACCCACTCGTGCAAGTACGATCCTGGGTTCTCAAATCCTCCATTTGTCTATGCATCGATGTTGGGGGGGTTCGTTCTGCTCAGGTGAAGCGTGTTTATTGCTTCTCATCTTAGTCCACCGTAGAAGATCTAATGGTTGTGCAGCAATCTGCCTGTGAAGGTGCCCACGTGCGTGAGTTTGAAATCACACCTTTTTTAGCACGATTTGGTTTTGAACCTTACACCACACGTGCAACAGCCCTTATACGCGATACGGTACGGGTACCTCTTTGTTGGACCAATAGGCTTTTCGGTTTCTACAATGTGGGGGATTAGGGCAAACGAGCGCGCACGTTCCAATCAATCCATACCTCGCGCTATGGCGCATATATGGCCGGAACAATCTGCGCATCCGCTTTTAATAAAGGGAAAATGTCTGAGCCAACATAGTGTTGTTCTTGCGGAACGTTACAGTCCCCATAGAATCAAACAAACTCCTTATTCTACCCTACTTCAAGTCCCTGCTGCTCCCATGCATCTTGTGCGGAAGCGTAATGACGTCTAATCGTAGATTCGTGATCGCTGCTTCGAACATGAAAACGAGCAGAAAAGTTTTTCGGGAATGACACGAACCCATCTGTGTAGGCTTGCTCATGTGGTGAAGCTTTTACCTCGATCGGTTTACCTGTGACTTCATCGACAGCATGCATGATGTTGAATCCCCATAGGATGCGCGCAACGCCCTGAAATAGGCTCTTCTCGGCCATATGAACTAAGACGTTAGATGCCACTTTGGTGTTTACTCACTACCAGCGCAAATGCGTCGTCCATGTCCGTAAGCAAAATGGTCGCGTTCTAAACTGTTTCGCTTAGTCGCGTATTCTGCTGCGCTCCCAGGATGTGACTTGTAAAACCTGGCTTCCGGATCAAAGAGTTCAGGGTTCGGGTACCGTTTTGGGTCGTGGGACATAGCGAAGACTGGCCAAATTAATACATCTAGAATCTTAGGCGAACACGTACTGTTACCGATAACGGTTGAACCCTTCGGGATTTTGTATCCATAATATTCATCATCTACTGTCACAGCATGTGGAACACCCATAACAGTAGGGGGACGCCAGCGAAGTGTTTCTTTGATGATTGCACGTACAAGAGGTAGATGCACTTCATCTTCATAGCCAGGAAGGCGATTAGGTCCAACAACAGTGTCAATTTCGGCATGTGCCTTTTCCTGGATCGCTGGATTTAGAAGCATTGCCAAACAGCAAGACGCGATCGTGCTCGCAGTCTAATCAGGTAGTGAGCGCCAATTTTCATGTACTTACAGTATCCGAACCAGCTTCTAGCAAAGCACAGGCAGCATATCCAATATCCATGTCCGACAATTGCTCCTTTGTGCGTTCTTCCTCTGATCCTAATTGTGCGCCTTTGCATAGCAATTCCTTGATAAAACAATCTCTTCCTTCACCAATTTCGATCTCTCTCTTGCACCTGTCCACAAAGCTCCCCCACAGTTCCCACTCTTTCTGATGCAGATTCTCCGCTTCACGAATCCATGGTTGCAATGCGACAGGCAAACGTCGAAGAAAGGGAACCGCGTCAACCAGATATGCACCAGGTAGTGATTTTCTGGACAGGATGTCCATTGCTTCGAAAATTCCCTCAATACATGGGTCTTGTGGAGAGAAGAATCGATGGCCATAGCACAGCGTCATGATGCTGCTTGATGTATATCGTTGAAAATAACGGAAAAAATGGACGTTTTCCGTCTCTGAATTTTGTGACTCGAGAAGTTCATGTAACATCTGCCTGCTTTCTAGCTCTTGGACCATACCAGACATAGCAGTGGCATTCGGTGCAAGTAATTGATGCATTATTTTTCGTGCCTTCCTCCAATCCTCCCCGTACCGATGGAAGACCATGCGCTTTTTCTTGCTCATTAAGTCGTATGCGAAATACGGCGGATTCCGCGAGCTGTAAATAGAGCCTCGATTGTCCAAGAGGTCTTTGGCTACCAAATCAGTATTCAAAACGATGATATCATGCGAGAAAAGCCGAACATGAACTATAGGGCCGAATTTTTCGGCCCAGCGTTTGAATTGGACAACTGGATGTGTCGAGTTGATTTGTAGAAAGTTTCCAATTAGTGGAAATTTCAGTGGACCAGGCGGTAAAGACGCGTGTTTAACTCGGTTCGTCCTCCTTGACATGAGGACAAATCCTAAAATGAGGGGGACCGTAAGCAAAATCCAATTCAGAATAGCCCATCTGGTGTTCTCGCTTTGAAGTACAACCATACTCATATAAGTACACTTAACTGAGAGATTTAACGGAAAGAAAACGTCTATGCGAGTACACTGCTGCTTGAGTGACTATGCATAACCTGCCCACGACCATGTAAATAAATGTGTCTATGTTTTCCAATCTATTAATCTGGTTTGGCCTTTCACATAATTTATAAGGACACGTGCGCTCAAGACATGCGCGCACGCAATGGCACCTACATCACAGCACGGGTTAGGTAAGTATTGTTCAGCTCAGTTCAAACTCCGGTTCCAGTTTCTGAAGACTTGTCTCGTTGGTGTCGACATCTTTTGACCTGGGCGTTCGAAACACCACAGTTACAAGTAACATCATAACGAGTAGACCACAGAAAGCCACAAGAATGTAAAAACTTTGTCCCAGCCCAATAGCTTGCGCTTTAGTTGAATCCATTCCATTTTGTTCATGTGAATTCGCGATTGAATCACTTGCCAGGGCCAGAATCGCTATCCCCACGCCCGAGCCGACTTGCACAGCAGAATTGAATACAGCACCAACAACACCCTCCATTCCTCGGGGACAGAGTTCCATCAAGGAAATGTTAACAGGGGCGAAGCAACACGCCATCCCAGCATTTCCAATCAAAAACCCTGGAATCACAAGTCGCGCGTAGTCATGAGACTGGCGAACAAATGACAAGAGGAGGGCACCGCCAACCATCAGCGCCTGACAAACGGGCATGATATATCGCACAGGGACAAACTTGATTAAAAATCCACTGCTAAACGATGCGACAAGCCCCGTCATACCAAGCGGAATAAAGTGTACTGCTGTACTCAATGGAGACCATTCGAAAACATATTCGAAAACCATTGTAACTTGATAGACCAGGCTGTTAAACCAAAAGTACAGGCTAAAGGCAATCCCCACAAAAACCAAAAACTCCACAGAAAATAATGAAGGCGGGACGACAGGATCTTTCACCTTGTGCTCCACATAGATGAATACAATAAATAGTAGCACTCCTAGAATGAGAGGCACAAGTATAGTTGCTGTTACCCAGCCAAAACTTGATGCACCTGAAAAGGCAAATGTAATAAGTATGACAGCTGAAGTCGCCAGGAAAACTCCTGGAACGTCTAATCCTTTCAATGAGAACGGCTTTCCTGGTGCGATGTGCACACATACAAAAATTGATGCTATACCTGCTGGTAAAGTGCAGATCGCCGTGATGTAATAAATCCATCGCCAATCAATTTTGGCTGCAATGACACCACCAATTATGACACCAAGGACGTTGCCAATACAACCTGCGGCGGCAAAAATTCCAAAGGCGATAGAAAACAGTTTCCCTTGGAAATGGGTAGCAATGAGGGACATACCCGACGGGATGGTTAAGGCTGCACCTATTCCTTGAATAGCTCGGAATACAAAGTGCATAATAGCATTCGGCGAAACTCCTGCGATAATAGCAGAAATTCCCAACACAAAATACCCAAAAATAAATGTCCTTTTGGGACCGAGCATATCTGCTAGTCGTCCACTGAGGAGAAGAAGCCCAGCGAAAGATAAAGCATAGGCAGAAACAATCCATGGCTTTTGAGAGGCAGTCATGTTGAGGTTACGGGCTATTGTAGGTAGCGCGATGGTTGGTGCTGTAACGTTTACAATGTCCCAGAATTGAGCATAACAAATAAAAAACAAAATACTCCATTTTCTCCAAGGACCTACTGTGTGCACTCCCACTTTGGATGAAATAGTAGAATCAGACGCATTTTCAGGTGGCATCTGACTGGGGCTCGCATCTTTTTTAAATTCCATCGTCGGAATATAAGGATCATTATGGTTTTGCTGTGGCGCTTCAGGTGCCTTTGATTTCCAATCCAGATTTACTCGCATTGTGAACGAACAAATCGGTGAGTGTCCTGTGATGGGACAAACGGTACGAGACCATCATGAGCTCTAACCGTACGAAGTACGAAAATCCCTCAACATGCTTTAGGCCGCTAACAATTTTTACGTTTGCGGGCACATGCCTTACTAACCAACACAAATCACAGGTAATTTATATTTTTGGTCACATCATTTCTGCGCTACCGCAGGTACGAAATAGAGGCCTGATGATTTTATCCTTGACACGTGCACAGCCCTTGCAGGTATCCTCAACAAGCATGTAGGTTTGGATGTCTGAAATGCGGTTTATAAGTGTAACTTTTGTCACTTCAACTGTCCAAATAGTGATCGCTGCGACGTCATGGAGAAAGCCTCAAACAAAGATCAGGTCTATGTAGGAAATTATCTCCTGCAGAGGTTGAAACAAATGGGGGTGGGGTCAATATTTGGCGTTCCTGGCGATTTCACGTTTGGACTGTGTGATTTGATCGAAGACATGCCAGGATTGTCGTGGATAGGAAACGCCAATGAACTCGGTGCAGCGTATGCTGCCGACGGCTATTCCCGTGTGAATGGATTTGGTGTCCTCCTCACGACATGGGGTGTTGGTGAACTGTCAGCGCTGAATGGAGTAGCTGGTGCTTATGCAGAGAGAATTCCTTTGCTTCATATAATCGGCTCTCCCCCCACCATACAAGCCAAAAAGCGCCTTCCTATTCACCATTCCTTCGCTGATGGAGACTTCGGAGTGTATAAGAGAATATCCGAGCCTGTATCGACGGTAATGGAGGAGATCAGTGAAACAGGTCAAGCGGATACGATAGACCACGTCTTGCGGTGTGCACTGCAAGACCGGCGTCCTGCATACCTTTCCATTCCAACGGATATGGTCTTTAGAGAGATCTCAGGTGCTCCACTCCTTTTCCCCTTAGTGGAACAGAGTCGTGGTCCAATCTCACCTCTAGATGAAGAAATTGCACGCCGAATTTTGACCTACATTGAGGCTGCGCAATGTCCTGTGATCATTGCCGATGTTCGAGTGCGACAATATGGCTGTTCTGAGGCTTTGAGCAAATTGCTTGACACGTTGCAGCTACCGACTTTTGACACTCCCCTTAGCAAAGGTTTGGTTGATGAAACTGCACCCTCATTCATGGGTACTTATATTGGTGCCAGCTCAAATCCTGAAGTGGCAAGTAGGCTTGGTGAGGCTGATCTCGTTGTGCGCTTTGGATACCTGGAGACTGATTCGAATACAGGTGGCTTTAGTGCTAAAATTGACCCTCACAAGCTAATTGATCTTAATGTGAAACAAGTGCAGTTCTTTGACGGTCCTGAGCAAAGTGTTTCAATGATGATACATATTCTTGAGCACCTTTCTGCGCATGTGTCTAGGTGTCCCATCTCAAAACAAGCACCTGTTTTTGATTCAAGAAATAACATTGTGTCAAACACGGACTCAGACAGTATGATCACCCAACCTCATTTATGGGCAAAAATATCTCAATTCCTTAAACCCAACGACGTGGTTATATGTGACACTGGAACAGCATCGTTTGGTGTGACGGATATCCGACTCCCGAGGGATTCTAAGCTGCTTTCTCAGATGCTTTACAATTCGATTGGATGGTCCGTTGGTGCTGCCGTAGGTGCTGCAAAAGCTTTGCAAGAGCAGACGATTGGCAAACTACCTAGGCGTCTAATTATAATCGTGGGCGACGGGGCTCTTCAGACTACAGTTCAGGAACTGTCTACACTTCTTCGTATTCGTGCTAGCAACGTGATCATTATTGTGCTGAACAACGATGGATATACCATCGAACGCGCACTTCATGGTGCCTTCAGGCAGTACAACGATATTATGCCCTGGAACTACTCAAGGCTACTAAAGGATTTTGGTGCAGACCAAAATGAACGAAACAGTATCGTCGCAAAAACTGCGAAAGATGTGCAATGTGCTTTCGACGATTTTACAGCCTCGAGCACACAATCGATTATGTTGTTGGAGGTATATCTTGCGCGATGTGATTACCCAAGAATCCTTTCTAAGCTCGGCCAGGTGTCTCGTGAACGGAACTCGTACGGATATGCTCCAGAGTATAATAACTAAGTAGACAACTTGTAAGATAGCTAGAGTTACACACACCTGTTTAGAAGGCTCTATGAATCGATTCGGATCTAAATCAGAGTGCTGGCATCTTGGAGCGCTCGGCTTTGAATTTCTCCTCGAGCTCCAAAAGTTGCTTTACGAGATCGCCATACGTTTTTTCCCACGGTGTCCACGTAATTCCCAGCACACGCTCAGCTTTGGATGCATCCAGCCTTGCAATTGGCCCCGGCTGATTCCTTGTACCCGGATTACCAGCTGGTATAGCATCGCGACGTTCTGGAAATGTCTTCCGCAAATAATCAACAACCACTTGCATGTCGACATAGTATCCACAAAGGGCAAAACGTTCTCCGCGTGTAGCTGGATTTGACATAGCGTCAACCAGAGCTTTTGACACGTCACGAACATCAACGGTCTGTGGAAGAAAAGTGGGAGGCACTTCATCGCAAGACCCTGAGACTAAGTGCCAAACATTTGCGCAAGACGTGTTCAAATCTTCGAGCCTTTCCAATGGATGCGCTATCGGTCCAACAATCCCTGGAGGGTTGAATGTAGTCAAAGCAAACGAAGGTTGAGCTTCGCGAACGTACTCCCAAGCTGCCTTTTCAGCAAGAGCTTTACTGGCACAGTAAGTGTAGGCTTTAGATGACGTCCTCGCAATATCATACGTTGCGGGATTCCAGTCAGCTTCTGTGTATGTATAATCTCGAATTGAGCCTCCTTTTTCGAAACAGTTGATGGCAGCAAATGACGAAGTAATCAAGACATGTTCCACGTTCTCTTCATTTGCTGCCTCAAGTACACTCATAGTTCCCTTAATCGCTGGTTCCAGCATTTCAGAGACAGGATCATCGAATGCCATTGTATACGGTGATGCCACGTGCTGTACTATTTTCACATTCTTGAACGCTTGCTTGAGTTCATCTTTGTTACGAATATCTGAAACGAACGCAAGAGAATGGCTTGGTCCAGGCATCGATCGAAGCAATTCGTCACCTTTTTTCTCACTTCGCACAACCGAGCGAACGCGGTATCCACGGGCAAGTGCATCACGTACTACATGTGCTCCAACGAATCCCGTAGCCCCAGTAACAGCAATGATTGGATTAGAGGTGGTCATATTTGTCCAGAGCCAAGATCCAAATGGCAACATACTTGTTTATATATGTGTACGTACACACTTATTTCGGGCTCCGTGATTACAGGACAACAACATTGTTGTCGAGTAAAAAAAAAACAATTGGTTCGATTTTTGCTCGGGATGTTCAACGTGCAGTTTAACCTCCCCGACGACGCACAGACCAGTCTAATACCCAGGCAATTCGATCAGGATTTAAAATGACGGCGGGGTAAAGAGCAAGAGCAATAACAATTTCAAGTTGGATAGCTCGCGAAGATCTTGAGCTGACAGTTTAGTCAACCATCAAACTGCTATGATGTGTGACATTTCTCACAAAGTTCCAGGTGTATTTACGGATAAAGACCACAACATTTTTATTGGTTTCACAGATTATCCTGTTCCCGGTCCTGACGAATGTATTGTCCGAGTTAGAGCTAGTGGTGTGAGTACGGCTTGGTCGATGGTGTTTTCTGACGATGCTTTCAGATTTGTGGTTCTGACTGCTCGAATTGGAAACAAGGAGGCATAGGTGGTTGTCAAATCACGGTACCACTTCGGCTTGGTCACGAGAGTGCAGGCGAAGTCGTGGAGATTGGGGCTAACGTAGACACATTACGAGTTGGTGACCATGTTGCAATCGAGCCTGGAACTGCCTGTGGACACTGCCGACAATGTCGTAATGGCTCGTACAATCTTTGTCCCAAGATGAAATTCAGGAGTGTAGCTCCACATGACGGTAAGAAACATGGACAGTCAAACGGTAACATCTTCAGGTACGCTAGCTGAGTACGTGGTCCATCCTGCAACGTGGCTGCATAAATTATCGGACACAACAGATTGGGGTATCGGTGCTTTGATTGAGCCTATGAGCATAGCCCTTTCTGCTCTTAGGCGTGCCAACTTACAGCTTGGACAGGTACGCATTGGGTAACTGATTTTTTTTTTGTCTGTTTGTATATTCGGCGCAGGGTCTATTGGCCTTATGATTTACTTGTTGGCGAGAGCTGCTGGAGCAACCCCGATTATCCTTGTGGATGTTGCTCTATCGCGCTTAGAGTTTGCAGTTCAACAGCTGGGTGCAAATATCGAAAACGTTGTTCACGTCGACGCCAATCAATCCATGGCTGAAGCTAGCACTAAGGTATTACAGGCGTTCAAGGGTATCAAGCCTGATGTTGCATTCGAGTGCACGGGGTACAGTATGCCCATACATACTTGCTTGGGTGTTCTTGAAGCAGGTGGATGTTTAGTGCAAGTGGGCATTGGCGCACCAGTGAATGAGCTCTCTTTTTCTGAGCTCCTCCACCGACAGGTGGATCTTCGATTTGTCATGCGATCAAATTCATGTTTTGAAGACTGTATCCGTCTCGTAGAGAATGGCGTGGTGGATCCATCTTTGTTAATCACACACGTCTTTCCAATTCAGGTACGTATTCATAATCCTATCGATGTTAACATCCGGTGTTAGCAAGCATCAGAAGCGTTCCGCACATTGTCTCAGCCAGAATCGGGAGCCATAAAAGTCCACATCGTGTGTTGATGCATGGTGTCAATAAAATCTCCCATTCAGACTCCATACAGATAGAACTATGGATTATTGTCAGCACTATAAGACCGTCGAGCGCGTGCAAGGATTGGAGGGCATCGGTATGTTCTGTGTCAAGGGCCCCTGCACACGTACTCTCGAGGGTCCAAAAAGATCACATATGAACCATGCTCTTTCAATTCTTCAAGAATGTAGAAACCCGTCAAAATACGATTCAAGGCCTTGTTTGA